CATCAAGGCCGCAATAAGAAGGTGTAAATAGCTCTGGGTGGTGTGGCTTAGTTAGTTGGAGTGTGTCCCATGCACCGAAGGGTCACTAGTTTAATTCCAGGTCAGGGAACTTGCCTAGGTTGAGGGTTTAGTAACTGGTGGGGGCCAGTTCAGGAGAAAACTGATAGATGTCGTCCCCCCCCCCCCCTTGCCGGTGTGGCTCAGTGATTAGAGGGTCTGGAGTTCGATTCCCAGTCAAGGGCACGTGCCTGTGTTGTGGGTTCGCTCCCCATCCCCACGCGGGGCTCATTCAGGAGGCCATCAGTCAAGATGTCTCTCTCACAATGATGTTTCTCTCCCACTCTCTCTTCCCCCCCCTCCTCTCTTTCTCTCTCTTCTCTCTCTTCTCTCCCTCCTTCCCTTCTACTCTCTCTTAAAAAAAAAAAAAAAATCAATGGAAAAAGTATCCTCCGGTGAGGATTAACAAAAAACAAAACCAAAAGCACTTATTACAAATATATTAAATGAATATATTAAAAAACATTTCTGTAAATATAAAATGTTCTAAAATTGATTGTGATGATGGTTGCAGCACAAGTGTATCAAATATACCTCAAACCAGTGAATTATATAATTTAGGTGAATTGTATGGTATGTGAATTAAATCTAAGTAAAACCATTAAAACTATGGTGTGTTTTTTTTTAAATAATTAAAAAAATTATTGTTGTTGTTGCTGTTATTTTTAAATAATTGTAGCCCTGACCAAACTGCTCAGTTAGTTGTAGCATCATCCCAATATATGAAGGTTGTACATCCCTGGTCAGGGCAACATATAAGAATTAACCAAAAAATGCATGAATAGGTGGAATGACAAATCTATCTATCTATCTATCTATCTATCTATCTATCTACCTACCTACCTACCTACCTATCTCCCCCACCTCACTCTACTATCAATAATAATAAAACAATTAAAATGAGTAAATAAATAAATATATGCAGTGATAACATCTTAGAATGGACAAAAATCTGAATTGGGAAAACTAGGAAGTCAGTTGAAGCAGACACAAGTTATGACGTCGTTTGGTCTCAAACTCATGTAATATGTTAAGATCTTTTCTTGTTCATCAAATGAAGCAGTAGAGACCTTTAAGAAGGTAGCGTCAGCCTGTAGGGAACATCCCAGGTGATGCCAGGATGGACAGAATTCAAAATATCTAATTCGGAAAGAGGAACTAATACTAAAAGAATAAATAAATAAAATAAAGGGAAGGTGGTTCCTGTTCTCACACACAAAATGGGAAATCAGAGGCTAGCTGCTATGACAATGAGTAAAACACATTGGAAGAAAGTGTACATTAGACGATATTGAAGAAGTCAATTTGGGAATCCATTTCACAGAACAGAAAGAGGTCACCTCATGGGAACAGAGGAGACGTTTAAGATGAGAACTGATGGCCCTGACGGGTTTGGCTCAGTGGATAGAGCGTCGGCCTGCAGACTGAAAGGTCCCGGGTTCGATTCCAGTCAAGGGCATGTACCTTGGTTGCCGGCACATCCCCAGTGGTAGGTGTGCAGGAGGCAGCTGATCGATGTTTCTCTCTCATCGATGTTTCTAACTCTCTATCCCTCTCCCTTCCTCTCTGTAAAAAATTAATAAAATGTATTTAAAAAAAAAAAAAGATGAGAACTGATGGGAGAATGGGGGAAAAACAATATAAATGCACTGTGAAAAACAGGTTATCACAGGGATACAGTATCCACGATACATTATCCACAGTGGGTTGAATGTTATGGAGGGAAATCACA